AAGTGGCAGGGGTGTGGACAGGACAGACACAACTTAGCTTCAGTTGACTGTGGCCAGGTGTGTATGAGGGCCTGGGACTTAATTTTCCTAGAATTTTGAAACCAAGAGTTATATGGGGCAATTAATTCAACTTAAAAACCTGCAGACCTGTTTGGCCCCAAGAACTACCTATCTTTGACTCGGGGAGCTCGATGGGAGCCCTCCTTCCTGGCCCTTCCTGGGACAAGTTGAGTGGGAAGAGTCGGCAGGGGAGGGGGGATCCTTCGCTTAGAAAAGGAAAAACGGTTTCAGGCTTCAGGTCGAGATGGCATGTTTTGCTGCTCAGAACAGCTGAGGACACCTGGAGCCCGTCCAAGGAAACCCGCGCGCACGGGACACCCCCTCTGCAATGCCGGAGGAGAACCTACAGTCCTGGAGCGCGCACAGCCCTCTCGCCCACCAAGCAGGCGTCCTGACCACGCTGTTTTGGATAAGCGACTCTGTCACCCTCTATGCCCCCGGTCGCCGGTTACATATTCTAAGGCGACTCTATCCGGGCCCCTTCAGCCCGAGGATTCGGCGAGGCTGGCGTGATCAGTCGCGCTGCCTCGGAGAAGCGAAGGGAAAGCAGGGGCCTCTTCCCAAAGCGATGGGGCGGGGACGCAGATGGCTCCAAGTGACCGGGCAGTACCGTCTCGGAAGGACTGCATTGGTCCCGAACGCCCTCCCAAGGGTGCCTCTATCTTTCAGAAGTGAACGCGGGTGGTTGGGAACCCTTCAGGGCATGTTTGTCTTCTAGATAGACAACCCTACTGGGAGGTTTCCTTACTCTCCAGAAGGCAAGTGTGACTGAGATTTCAGATCCTCAAGGCAGCCTGACCTTGATCAAGCCTGGCTTTGAGGCTGGTGCTCCACAGGTGCGCCACGGATGGGCGAAATAGCGCCCTCTCACCTACCCTCGATCACTGTTGGGGGCCAGATGTAAGCTGGCAAGATCCTTGCACCTGTAGGGACTAGCAAGGCTGGGACCCTTACCCACACAGTTTTCCCAGACTTGTTTGGATGGCGATTATCAGTAGAATGAGAGCAACATTTGTAGAATGAGAACAGCCTTTCATAGCTTACCAAGAAGTCTGTAACTATTTACTGAGATATGCTGTACTGAGAACTTGTCCTTCTGCTGTATCTCTCCCTTAGAGATTAAGAGGGACAAAGAATACATTCCTCTTGACAGACCTCCGATTCAGTGTGTTGTGTATAAATAGGATTGTAGAGCTAATAAACTCGCTTCAGTTCATCAACAGAACTGGGGTCCTCCCGACCCCGCTTTCCTGTCTTTCTTTCTTTTCTCAATTCCCACCTCACTGCCTCAGCCCGGCTCAACCTTGTCAGGCTGGCCCTGACAGCTCACCTCGGGCCCTTTCCCTCTTCCTAACTGCAAGCCAGCAGTTCACGTTTGCTGCTTAGTTTGGGTTGGGGAGCGGGGAGGACTCTTTCTCAGAAGCTGCTCTCTCATTTGATTACTTTAAACTTCATACTTAAAACGCACACACACACACACAACACAAAACTTGGCTTCCTCCCACTTAAAAAAAATCGCTGGGAATTTCCACAATTTCCCTTGAAAGCTTAAGAATTTCTAAACGTTAGACCTGTTTGCATGGCATGAAAAGACAAAGTAACAGGACTAAAAAATGTCAACCTTTGAACCTCTAACACTTTCTGATTTATATTAAATTCTACCCAGAAAGACACAGGAGCCTTAATGTAAGCCTTAGATCTGAAGGGGGAAATCTGTAAAAAAGTAAATC